TCTCTCTCTCTCTCTCTCTCCCTTTCTCTCGTGACGCAGGCGCTAATTCAAATCACGTATACATTCGCACAAATTACATCGTTATAAATTATACGCATTTACAATTATTTTATCTGAACGAGGCCGTCAGAACAGAGGTCTTGTACACTTTCGTTCCGTATGTTTTTTTTTTCCGAGTCAAACATGCAAATTGATCTATTAAATATTCTATAACATGTCTATAAATAGAAATTTAAAATCTTGAAAATTAACAACATGATTATATAAATAACAAAGTAATTTAAAAAATCGTCGATACGTCGTTAAAATATAAAAAATTTAATATCTTTCTAAATTTAGGAATGTTCATACTTTTTTCGTTCCTTTCTCTCTCTCTCTCTCTCTCTCTCTCTCTCTCTCTTCATTAACGACTTAACAAGAACTTTAAATGATTTTAAACAACAATTACTCAAAAGAATCAAAAATGAGAAACTTACGGCAGACTTTAATTTCTGTTTCGCAATAATTTTCAATACTGAATCGGTACTGGAGCAACAATAGGTGTCATTTCCACGTTTTAATTATTACTGTGCCAGTAATAATATCATCTGAAACATACACGCTTTTATTACATTATCAAACAGATTCCATTTTTTTTCTTTTTCTTCTTTTTTAAATTCGTACAAGCATTCGATGCGAAATTTTGCATATCTACTCTCTTAAAATATCTCCTAAAGTAAATAGAAAAAGTTTTGTATTAATTCGTTACGCTACAACATAAGAAATATTGATCATTTCAAACCCAATCGTATCCACAGTCGAGACAATTCAATGAACATAGGATATGCATACAAATTATTTGATATAATTACAACGTTTTGGAAGTATCTTTGTTAGTTAATCATCCTTAATAACATAAATATTACTACAATGAAGTTTAGAATGCATAAAAAACTAGAGTGTAGAAGAACAAATGTTTTCTACCATAGATCACACTGGATGGATCGTACAGCAAGGCAGTTCCGTGTACTGTGAGGTTTATTACTTGATATGCGATGCGCACATAAATAACTAACAAAGTTAGCCGTTGTACTGAGATAAGTCAGACACTAATGCTTACGATTTCAATATGAAATAATATATGCTAGAATAAAAATGTGCAGAGTCATTTGATGGATTTTTTTTTTCTTTTTGTTCTTTTCATTTTCTTTTCCCCGTTGTGTTCGATTGATAAATTGGCATTTGAGACGCGTTTGTACGCGATTCATTAAGGCTTGAATATATCTTTGACTCGTTCCAAAATCTGAGCAAATTTGTTAATGCTTCAAGAAAGTCCTTGCAAACACGTAAATGTTAAGAAGAACGCGGAAGTTCTTCAAAGTGTTTTAGCTTTTTCGAGTAAATCGTTAATGAATTTCTGAAACATATAAATAAATAGATAAACTTCCGTTAGTGACAAATCATTTGCAACCATAGATGGTACACCATAACCGACCTTATTAATTTCTCAGAACTACCAGATATTACTTTTATGTAGAATTAGTCACAAAATATGAAATTTTAAGGAAGAAAATATCGTTAAAATGAATTTTTAGACAAGCTTAGTAAACATACTTACGTTTATATCATGTGGTGGTTTCTTTGTATCAACTAGCAAGTCCTATAACAAAGAAAATGAAACAATAAATAACAATAATCAATTTTGATAATCATAATATTCATAATAATAATATATATATATATATATACATATATACATACTTGTAAAAACCTCCGTCTATGATCATCACTGTCCATATCAAGAAGTTCATCTATATCTATTTCAACTTCCCGATTTTTGCCGCTTTCGTTCTGTAAATTTAAGAAATTGATAAATTATCCATATCCTACATATATATACTTCTAATCAGAAAAAATTTTTACACTTACAACTGATTCATATAATTTTTCTAGCTCATCAAATAGCCACATTTCAACCGCAAGTCTTTTACGAATAAGAGACATCTGATGAGATCCATACTTGGCAGTTAAAAATTTTTCTCTGCGTTCCTTTACCTCTCCTTTTTCACTGAAAGCTACATGCAAATTCGCACGTGCAGGACTGCGTTCTGCTGTAAGTACTCCACCTCCTTCCATTATAAACTACCTAATAATTCAACAAAATATTCCTTGAAGAATTTATTTTAAAAACATTGTTTTAAGACATAGATGTTTAATGAAAGATATTAGACAATCAATAAAACAATTAAAACATTAAAGAAAAGAAATAAAAATATGAAAAGAATGCATAGAATGCATAGAATGCATAAAATGCAATATATAAATAAAATATGCCTATGAATTTTTATTATTATACAATGTAGAATATAAATGTTAGACAAAAAAATAATTACATAAAATGAAAATCGATTAATATTTAGTCTACATTATGGAAATAAAAAAAATACAATAAATAAAACAGCAAATAAGAATTAAATAAAATTTTTTTCTTTTTCTATTCTTTCTTTTTTTTCTGATACAATTATTTTTTTTCTTTCTTTTATAGAAAATAGATTATACCAAGGTATACCTGTTACGGGAAAATTCGCACGGAAGATGATACGGTAAAAGTAAAAAAGAAATGTGGGAACGAAATTTTTTCACCGTATAGTCACATCCGTTCCCACGGACTTAATTATGTGCGCGATTTACTTGATAAAAAGTAGTCGCGTAATCGATCATTGGCTAACCGAATCGAATTAACCAGAGTGAATAAATAATTATAATGTTCAAATCAAATCATATATTGTCAATTTATGTTCCTCTAACTATAATACAACCTTTACGCACATGCTAACCGCGTTTTGCATGCTACAATAAACAATGGACTTTATTATCTGAAGCGTTATTGAATGCAAATGCAACCTCGATGAGACGCGACGCTCTGACCATACAAATACTTACAAAGCGTCGAAATAAAACTACTAAGAATACTCTGATAAAATACAAGGCCGGCGAACTAAAATAAAAGAAAGAAAAAAAAATTTCGTGCAGACACTCGTGTAAATAAAGCGATACGAATTGATAAAAACGGCGTTTTAATAAATGATCACCAACTTATGTCAACGTAACTATAAATAAGGATCAAGCCAATTATTTCGCTACGGATTAATAAAATTAACAGCGAAACGCGTATTATTAGCGCATGTTTATACGATCACTCGATATTACTTACACTCAACTCACTGCTTCTATTTCAGAATATACACTACTCGAGCCGTAATACAGTATCGTAATGCCAGAATCCATACGAATAATAAACTTTCTTGAAGTTAGTCGAGTATGATAAAATTTTTACACTAGCCATAGTTACCATACGATGTACGAAATATTACTAGTTTGCAGCGTATTACAGTGAGAGTTGCTTGAGAACATTATAACATGGGAAATATATATATATATTAACATCGTAGTCGATATGTATCGATGATCGGCAATATCAGATCATAAAAATTTTTTATGTTTGAACATTTTAAAATCCAAAATTTCTTTAATTTATTCAGCGTAATATTTTTTGAATAAATAATCTTCAATACTTTTAGTTCAATGATATTAAATATGGGTTTTCTAAATATTATATTTGAAAGTACAAATATAATTTAAGTATACTACCATGCCTGGTGTTTGCAAAACTTGAAATTAAATATAAAAAGTAAAAAGCAAAACGATCAGTAAATGTTGAGATTTAAAGAAATAATAACCAAGGCAAAGATTGATGAAACCTATTTATTAATCAGAAATAAATCAATCTTGACTTGAGTCAACATTTTCTGTCTGTAAACCTTTGAACGAAGCAACTGGTATGTATGTAACAAGAGTATACAACTTGTTGGCGGAATCTTCATCATCATTCCTTCTTCTGCTTAATCGTACACGAACTCTAAATGGTACATTCCTATAAGAATATACATAGATTAATAAAAACATAAAAATCTAAAAAATTCAGACACTGATCAATCATAGATAATTGTAAATTAAATCAGATTCAAGAATTTACCTAATTCCTTTAGACCAAAGTTGTTTATTGAGTCGTGTATCAATCCTCACATCTGGAGTTCCCATTTGTTTTTCAGCAAATTTGCGGATTTCCTTGATAGCTCGTGGAGCACGTTTCTTAAATCCAACTCCATGGAGACGTTTGTGCAGGTTCACTGTATATTCACGTGTAACAACCTCGTTAATAGCACTTTTGCTTTTCTTTTCTTTAGATTTGGCCATTTTATACTGAAAATAAAATTACAATGTGACATAACCAAACAATCTGTCATAATAAAAAAAAAGAATTATATAAAATGATTCTGAATTTAGAACCAAAATGTGGAATATACATTCTTACAAAATTAATATATATTTGTACGACAAAACAATAATAAGTTTCACAGTTGTGTAAATTATATTAAATACAGAAAAAATAGTAAACAAAACAGTGTTACACTCGCATGTTCTAATTGCAAAGGATATTATATCATCGACGGTAATATAAAAATCATATTGTTGTATAATAATTAATCGATGTAATTATACCAAAACTTAATTATTATTAATAACACTCAGCCAGATGTTGCTTGATTTTATTTCAAGAGAAACTGACAATACCTCTCTATCCTATAGTCGAGCGTAAAAGAACTGAAGTTTTCTGTGTTCCTAAACTCATCGATTTTTGATAGGAATATTTTAGTAAGATTTAATCCATAAAATGTATTTTTAAACCATATAAGAAAATTATTGGTAATTTATACAACGTTATTACATATTTTATATATAAATAAAAATTACAAAGTCATTAATGAAACCATTTAAAGGTCATTTGGTTGTTCCCTAGTGTTATATAAAATATAAATTTAATTTTTAAAATAA